ATATATATATATATATACATATACATATATCTACACCACATTTTCTTTATCCATTCATCTGTTGAAGGGCACCTAGATTGGTTCCATAGTTTAGTTATTGTGAATTGAATTGCTTTAAACATTAATGTGGCCGCGTCACGATAGTATGCTGATTTTAAGTCCTTTGATATATACCGAGGAGTTGGATAACTGGCTCAAATGGTGGTTCCATTCCAAGTTTTCTGAGGAATCTCCATACTGCTTTCCAGAGAGGTTGCACCAATTTGCAGTCCCACCACCTACTACGATTTTTGAGCCCTTGGTAGGCAGAGCTGGGAATATTAAAGGGAGCAAAGGAAGAAGACAAGTTTCTGTCTTGTCTCGCTATGAGATGACTCCTACTTGATGACAGCTTGAGATATCAGAATACAAAGAAATTGTCATCAGGTAAACTTAATGGTGGATTTTAGTTGGGAGGTAATAGAAAATAGTGATTACACACACTGGAATGGGAAGTTTGATCACTTGATTAGCTGTTATATGCGTTTGAGTCAGTGAATGACTCAAACTCATATCTCTAAATAAGTATTAGCTAATATAGTCAACATGGAAGGGATGGGCAGAGATGATGACAATGACCTTAATCCTGAGATTCACAGCCAGATTATAGAGTTAGGCCCGGGAGAAAAACTAATCTTTATTTGAAGAACTATTGCTAGGATCTCAGATCCATTAACTGTGTGTTGCATCATATTTCAAAAATATTTTTGCACCTTACTTTTGCAGTAGTATACCCTACTTCTGCCTACCTACATTTGGATTCAAGCACATTTTGCCACTGACAAATGACGCTGAAAGATTCAATGAAATTGTGAAGAATCAGAAAATCTCTGCTAATATCGACACACCCGAAGGTGGATTTGATGCAATTATGCAAGCAGCTGTGTGTAAGGTATGCTGTGCCAAGGAGATCACATTTCATTCCGTTAACATGAATTTCATCTCTTATTAACAAATCAACTTTGGAAAGCTTGTATATTTTTCTTTCTTTTATTCACCATATTTCTTCAATTGATGCTGAAGACACAGAATTTCTGTAAAATTTTAAATTTAATCATGTTTAAATGGGGACTGTTTTATACACCTAATATTTGAATAATCAAAGAAAATGATAGTAGCTTTGAGGAAATTTTGGTTGGAACAATAGTCTTGTTTTAAAAATCTAGTGTATTTTAAAGACCTAGATCAGGTGAATTTAGTTTTGGAATAACTATGGTTAAAAAAAAAAAAAAAAATCAAAAGCAGAACATTAATGAAAAAAGTAAAAATGCCCTGAATCAGTATATACCTATACTTAAGATCAGCTATCTATTGTTCTGGAAACGGAATAAGCCTTAGAAGCCATTCTGTCTCTAGGACATGCTAGGATCCTTGCTCCTTTCTAATTGACTGACACGTATTCATGAGAGTGGGTGTCTGTCTTGAGACAACAGCCCTTCTTGGGAAATTCAGAATTGGGCAGGCCTGAAGCTTCTAGAAGGTGGGAGGGCCAAGGAATTAGAGGAAGAGGAAAAGGATAAGCAGGAAAAGGCTGGAACAGGTAGGATGAGTTTTTTGCCTAACTAGTTCCTAGCCTGATATGCTTTAAAGGCGAAAGCTCTGCTAAGATACAGACTCCATGTGGACAACCGCAACAGCAGGACCTTGAGCCCGCCTTCGATGAGCAATTCTTCTATTTGTATTAGTTCTATAATCTTTAGATGACATCATTAGAAAGAGAAATATATACCTAAGTGTTGCATGACATTTTAATGCAACAGGCTTTCTTTGTACCATTTTTTATTGCATTTTTGACTCATTTTGCTTGAGCTTGGATTTGGAATTATCTATGACCTCCCCTACCGCCTCCCCTCATTTTTCTGGCTCATTGAAAGTTGGACAGCAAAAATAATTAAGTATGTAAACATCAAGATCAACTGAATCCTAATCATCACAGAGCTATTTTTTTTTCCTGAAGCATAAATCATCTGAAAATGTTATCCAGGAAAAAGCAAATGCCACAGAATTTCATGTGTTTCCTATATTATCAATTCACAATAGATGAAAGCGGATAAATTAGATAGACCAACAATATATTTTTTTTAATAATGCAAATGTGTCCGAGCAGAAGTGATCCACATTCAATAGGTGCCTGCCTCTCTCCAACGCAACCCCAATATTTCTTTATCACTCTAGGAAAAGATCGGCTGGCGGAATGACTCCCTCCATCTTCTGGTCTTTGTGAGTGATGCCGATTCACACTTTGGAATGGACAGCAAACTGGCAGGCATCGTCATTCCCAACGACGGGCTCTGTCACCTGGACAACAAGAATGAATACTCCATGTCAACTGTCTTGGTGTGTAACCCACACTCTGTGCTGTTGTCAGGGCCACAAGCAGGCGAAGGAAGCAACAACTGCTGTAACACAACACAAAATAGCTCTCGCTTGAGAAAGCAGTGCACGTTTCCTGATCTGAGATTAGCAAACTGTCCCCTCTCAATCCTCACCATCATTAGAGGTTTCCTGGAGTATGTCTGAGTTGTGGGGACATCTGAGAAGTTTGGATATGCTATAACAGGCGATCCCAGAATCTCTCCAACTTCTCCAAGATCCTGAGCTTAGCAAAAAGCAGTGATTTCTTTGTGTTCTCAACTATGGCCCTAGAAAGGGAGGTCTGGACCAAACAGTAGCACCTTGGGATTGCTGTGAATGACTGCCCCTAAATCATGCCATGCTTCTGATGGATATGGGGTTCCCTGGGAAACAACTAGTCGGGTAAGGCTAAGTTAGTGCATATTAACATTTGACCTATCTTTTTGGCATTTAAAAAAATGATGGTGCCATTTTTTAAAAATCAACTTTTGTAAAACAAGTCAAAGCTTTTTTGGGATACATGATCTCATCTGCCCTCAACAGAACCCTGTGTATCCAACCACCTTCCCTGAACAGACTATGTGGCTGCTGTTTGTGTACATTATTCCTTCCACTTGGGATGCCCTTCCTCCTTGGCTGCCAGGAAACTCTTAATTGCTCTTTAAAACCAGCTCAATCATTACTGCTCCCAGAGAGTCCTCTTTGACTTCCTTGAGGCCCCGGAGCAATAGTCTCTCCCTTCACCCTTATACATAGATGTCTTCTTACACATCTCTCTGAGGAGATGTGTTTGCTTACATCTGTCTGTCTTTACTGCATAGATCCCCAGGGCCACGGCTGGTTTATTATCTGTTTCCTGGCAGCGTAGTGCCTGGAACACAGTGGGCATTGACTAATGTATGAAATAGAGTTGAATTATGAAGCAGCCACCCAGGTAGGTCACATTATCCCCATGGGACACAGGAGAAAATACAATTCAGAAAAATCAAGCCACTTCCTAAAACAATGATGTCTAAATGAAAGGGATGAAGGGAAGAGAGTGAAAGTCCACCTTTCTAATATCAATTGGAAAATCTATTCTCTGTAAGCTAATAATTCATAAATCACTTGGTACCATTCTTTGACCTAAATTTCTACACTTCAACATGAATGAGTGTCTATAACTTTTGATCAGTTGTATTCATATATATATATATATATATATATATATATATATATATATATATATATATATATGTGTGTGTGTGTGTGTGTGTGTGTGTGTGTGTATTCTAGTATCACATAATTTTACTTTCCATATTACAATAGATATGAGAATACAATGTTTTGTTTTTAGTCAATGAAACTATTTTCAGACAGGAAACTGTGATAAATGAATTCCTTTTCATTACCTTTTCCTTGCAACTTTTCAAATGTCCCATAATAGACATCTTGAAAATAGGAAGATCATATAAGTAAATGCTCCCGATTGCTTAATATGACCTTCTTGTGTAACATGTGTTCAATTCACTCCTGCTGAATAAGCTGTTACACATGTGCAGAAGCCTTGGACTATTTACACACCCTGGGTCTTTTGAGCATTTTTTAAAATTTTAATTTTATTCTTATTTTTATTTTTTGGTATCAGAGATTGAACCCAGGAGTGCTTAACCACTTAGCTACAACCCCAACACCCTACCCCCACCCTTTATTCTGAGACAGTCTCACTAAGTTGCTGAGACTGGCTTTGAACTTGTGATCTTCCTGCCTCACCCTCCTGAGTTGCTAGGATTACAGGTATGTGCCACCACACCTGGCCCTTTCAGCATTTTCTAGGTACTCACAACTGGGCCAGATTCCTGGGGCCACAAAATAATAAGATGTGGTTCCTGGCCTTGAACCAACAATATAGTTGTGGAAATTAAACCAACAGATCTTATTCACATAGAAAACAGGATTCCATGGGGGCCACGTGCTGCGATCCTGGCTCCTGCATGCACAGCAGCTGAGAGACACAAGAATATGTAGAAATAAGGAGGGACTAGCACTGGCAGGATTTAGGCTTTAGGGTGAGGTATGCTTAAGGTTTGGGCAGTTGAGAAGCAGAAGAAATGGAACAATTCTTGTGTCTCTAATAAAATTCAAATATGAAAGAAAGCCCATACACATCCAAATTTGCAGCTGGGAAATGTACCTGAATATTTTAAGCAAAAGTATACCTTTCTCTCAACTTGAATTGGTACCTAAAGATGACTTCAGACAAAAATACTGCAGTAGTGCAGAAAGTATATAAGAACACATCAACTAGTGTACAGGAGGGCTTATTTTCAGTGTTCCTCCATTTTGGCTGACTTCAGTCATAAATGACGCATTCTTAATTTATGTAGCTGCTTACTACTCCCTTATCTGAGTGTCTCTTTGTGCAATATCCACATTTGGATTCATATGTGCTTATGTTTTCCAGATTGGGAAAGTAATGTCTATCTTCAAATTTGATAATTAATGACTGCTTTTATTTTTTGACGTACTCATATCACTTGGGAAAGAATCTGTCAATGGACAAGAAGTACAATGTGTTTCTAATTATCCTGTAGGATACTATAAATTCATTGATGACATTAAAAAGGCAGTAATACCAAACTCAAGAACCAGTAAAAAAAAAAAAAAAGACACCTGTCTCAAATCAGACAGATGTAGGAAATGTAGTGTGTCATTTTCAGCAGACTGTTCCTTTCTTAACCTTCGTGTCACCCTCATCTAATTCCAGGAAGGGTTTCAGAGCCACAAGAGCCACCTCAGACACATACATTATAGTCTAATTGCCCCTCCCCACCCAAACATTCTTACCTTCTGACCAGTAGCATCAGGAGAAGAAATGTGTCTCTATCCTTGAAAATATGATATGCTGTAAGAAGTGATCTTTCAAATTGTACACAATACACTACATTAATAGGAAGTGACTCTTAGGATTTAATTGAACTCCTAAGATTTAGGAAACAATTATTGAAGCAACTAATCAAAAATGCTAATCGTGTATTTGTTTACATAGAGTGATATAATAAGGCCTGTGAGCAGTGAAATGTCTAACTCAGTAAAATATTTTTCTATATTCTTTTATTAAGGTGATACTTAAAATCTGTATGTTCCTTTTAGGAATATCCAACAATTGGACAACTCATTGATAAACTGGTGCAAAACAACATGCTATTGATCTTTGCTGTAACCCAAGAACAAGTTCATTTATATGAGGTAAGCAAACAAATCTAAGAAATTCTTTCAGGGAGATGATGTCATGAAACTATCTCGTGAGTTCAACGCACAGGAAGGCCATTAGATAGATAATCCTAATACATACCAGATGCACTGGGCACTTGACAAAGTAGATTCATTTATACCTTGTAGTTTAAATGAGAAAACAGAGGTGTGGTGGAGAGTGAGGGCAGACATGGTAGAACATGGAAGTTATGGAAATAAAAAAAGGTGAGCTGGAATAAAGTACTAGTAAACACAGGACCACCTGCCTAGAGGGAAATTAGTCTATCTCCTCTTCAACTATTGCATCGGATGAGAAAAGAGTTAACAGAGAAAATAATGAAAGTGGGAGGAGAATTGGCTTTAAATTCTTTGACATTTCTCCATTAAATTTCCAATTTATAGTTTAAGGCTTTAGATGGAAGCACCATTTACAAACAGGGAATTGTATCATTAGATGAAATGATGTTTGTAAGCCACCATGTAAACAGTAAAACAGGGGCTGGGATTGTAGCTCACAGTAGAACACTTGCCTAATGTGTGAGGCAAGCATGGGGTTCGATTCTCAGGACTGCACATAAATAAATAAAGGTCCATTGAAAACAACAACAGAAAAGATTAGCAAAACATATATGCAAATGTAAAAGACTTCTATGGTTTCTTTCCAGCCTAAGAAAAAATATATGTCAAACGATGTTAATTGAGGTACTAAGAAATGATCTACTCATAATCTGCAGTTTCACAGAGAAGAAGGAGACTTTAGAATGGGCCAAAGAAAATGTGGGGAAATCAAATTATCTGTGTCATCTATGCAGTAGTGTCAGATACTCCTAAATCTAGAGTCTGACCTCTTATTCCTTTTGAAAGGACCTCTTAATTTGTTTGGTGAGTTCACAGGGCGGGGGGAACTCAGATTATTTAGCAGAAGCCTTTGATTAAATGTACTCACTACCAAGCACAGTTCAGCCATGAACTTGCATCAGGTTCTGTAGAAAGGATCCAGGAGGAGATGCTATCTTGCATTTTTAATGAGAGGAGGGTATTGTACTCCCAGGTGAGATTGCCTTCTGCTGCAAACCAAGGAAGTCCCTTGCAATCCAGCTGCTCAGAGACCATGTGGGTTCACCTGATCTGGGCATTTTCTTAAGGCTCTATATTATGTGATACCTGTTTCCACTGGTTTTAAATAGTAGTTGCAGTAAAGATTTTTTTTAATAGCCCCAAATACAATAGTGAGTCTATTCTGCCTTAGATCCTTAAGGCTAAAGTGAGAGGACCCTGGGGGTTACAACACCTCCTCCCCAGCAAGGCTCCAGCTCAGAAGGGGGAGTAGGAGCCGTGTACAACTTGTCTTCGAAGGGGAGTCTGGGGAACACGATTGATGATCATGAACACAGACTCCCATAATTCACTTTGGTAATAGTCTTTAAGACTCACAACTCATTTAGACGCCTCCCCCGAACTGCTATTAAAAAGACAGAGGAAGATGAAAAATAACTATGTGGCAAAACAGAATCTGTTGGATTTAAGCTAGTTGTATCCACGGTTCCCCTGTTGCAAAAGAAACGATCATTTCCAAGGAAAACACCAGATTAAAGCTTGCCTGTAATGTAACAGCAGGACATTTATTTTGCCTGCTTACTAATCTCATTATGAGGCGAATTTATGTTCTGTCATGTTCTGTGGACTTTGCCATCCAGGCTCCACTAAATTCAAAGGGCACTTTCAGGAAGCCAGGCAGCAGACCCGGTCGGCAACTCATTCTATGACTCTGGTTGTTTCATTATTTTATTTTTATTCTGATGGGCTCATCATTTCATCTGCATTAGCGGGGCCAGGCGGCAGCCTGGTCTAAAGATAATGACAGCAACATTGCACTTCCCTGAAGGCTGCACACAGCATGAAAATGCTGATCTCTTGTTTTATTGATAATGAAAACTGAAAATAGACCAATAATGGCTGTGCTGCCTTTCAATTTAAATCTCTTAGAAGGAGCCCTAGGTGTGCAAGAGTCCGGTGCAAACTGGTGTTTGGATAGAAGGAAAATAACCACCAAAGAATGAAAAATAAAGCCAGTGATAGGATAAATAAAGCAACTAAGTGTTGAGATCTAATGAAGATTCCAGAAGGCCAGTTGTTCACCTGAGTTCTGTGCTAAGCGTAGCTTGGTGCCTTCGCAGCGGGCAGGGGATGATCAGGTTCAATGGCGGCTCTGTCTTGCAGTACATAAGATTTATGTTGCCCACTCATGGAATGCAGGAAAAATGACCTTTTTTTTTTTTTTTTCAATAATTTTGGTAAGATGCTTTAGACTGCCCAGGTGCACAGTGTTGCTCTATGTTGTTGTAACAGAGGAACAAACAATGGAAAGGGTACAGTAAGCAATTTCATCTTCAGCAATATAGACTACAGTGTGCACCCCAGACTCCTGCAAACTGATGGTTTTGAGCAAACTTATTATTATGAATAGTTTCCTGTTTGTCCAATTATAGGGTTCAAAAGATAATGATAGATAATTGAGTGAGCAGTAGGTAGTATATTACATTCTAGTGCTAAATACCATTTTGAATCAGGATTCAATTACTCAAGTTAAAAAAAAATGTTTATATCTTCTCCGTTGTTTTTAAATGTTTACTGTTAATTTACATTAAGATAGTATCAGGCCACTAAACCCCAGCTGTCTAATTTGACTAGTCTTTCCTTCCTAGTGAGATAGTGAGATAAAAAGCAATTAAATCACTGTTCTTCACTACATCATCAAATCATGTTATGAATTACCTCGGGTTATTTGCAAGACTTTACAATATCCTATATCTTTTCAAAATGTCTGCATCTGGCTGGAAAAGAAGATTTTTATGAAGTTAATAGCAATAATTATTATATGACCTGGTGTTGATGACGTGATGTGGAAACCCAGCACCCAGAAAATAAACAAGAAGTTCATTGGGAGAGTTACTTCCAATTTACTTCAACTTCTAATTGGGCTGTAGAGGGTCTTGTTTCTGTAGTTATTAGGACAGAGTGATGTATCTAAAATATGGGAAAACAAGGGTACAAACAGATTTTTACACCATCAAAGTGCTCTTTTTTCCTAAGACAAAAAGCCCTCAATTATCACCTTAATTATGAGAGTATGGTGGGTCTTGCTCATCCTCCTGTTTAAGGCAATTCTTGATACACAGGGTATTTGTTGAATGAATAAAAAGTTCAATAAAAGCACCTGACCTTTTCTAAAATTGGGTCAAATATTCTAACGAGGGATTTGAGGGTTTGTATGATAAATACTTATCAAGGTTGAGGAAGCCCAGGCACACAGAGCAGGTGGAGGGCACCTAACCATTACTAGAACCCTCTGCAGACCAGGCTGTTTCTTCTTCCACCTTCCACCCTGGACCCAGATGGCACAAGAGAGGAAAGCAACACTTTGCCATCTTTCTTAGGACAACCGGCTGGAGAAGCTCCACAGCCTTGCTACGGGGCCATGAGAGGAAAACCCCTGAGCAATTACCCACCATCATCAGACTATTAGATCTAAAAACAAGCTGGAAGAGCAGCCACAATATGCCACAAGCCAATGTTCTTTTGTGGCTCATGAAAATTATACACTGTACTCAAGTTTCAATTTTTCAGGAATCAATAACCTCGTTATTGTTTCACCCTGCTTCCTTCTTCTGCCTCTTTTGAACTTTACACTGTAGCAACAGAAAAAAAAAAAGGATGATTTTAGTGAAAATAAAATCATCTGGGATTGAACCCAGGAGTGATTTACCACTGAGCTATATCCACAACCCTTTTTATGTTTGATTTTGAGACAGTCTTGCGATTGCTGAGGGTGGTCTCAAACTTTCGATCTTCCTGTCTCGGCCCCCCCAATTCACTGGGATTATAGGTGTGTGCTACCGTGCCTGGCAAGAAATTGCTTTTTATTCAAATGTAATGGGAAAGATTTTGATTTCTCCTGAATTGATGGTATCTGGAAGGAAAGACTGAGAAGTGCCAGCTGCCTACACTTTCCTCATTAGTGAAAACATCCCTCAGAAAGGGAGGATTTGGAAATGAAACTCCTATCCTCAGATTATCATTCAGAGCTGTTGGGAGTGTTTTCCAGACTAATTAGCAAATCCCACCCATGAAAAACCATCAGTACTCACCACTTCAATCACACGTGGTACTTTTCTCCTAAAGAACCCAAATCCTCATAATCCAGAAAATATGCACTCAGTAAAAAGAAGGGACAGATTTAAAGGAAGGCCTTCATGAGATACCCTCTTAGGCCAACCCATGTAGAAATATGAGATTTTATCAATACACGATCTGAGGGTTTCAGGATTCACACAATGCCTGCAATATCCAGTGTATCATTGCAGCAAAATGCTACCAACTGCATAGTCATTCATTCATTCATTCATCCAACGTCTCACGAGTACCTCCCATGAATCAGGCTGGCACTGGTGATTATAGTGGACAATAAGACACAGTCCCTGCCTCAAGGATCCTCATAGAGCATTTACAGATTTGGAAACCAATAATTTGCCTGAAAAAAAAAAAGAATATGGGCATTTTAGAGACAGTGTTCTGCTACAAAACCCCATGGTAGAGATTTTCTGGGGACCCAGAGTATTCATGTATGTCAGTGTTGTTACTCCTTTTGATTCTGGAGCAGCAGATTAATTGGCAACCATAAAACTGCTTTTGAGGCTAATAGTATCATCATGTTGAACTAAGTCCTTCACTTCACACGGGTGAAGACGGAGGGCCAGAGATGATATGCAACAATGACTGTGATAATAATAGCATAGTAGGGGATGTTTGCAGAGAGTTTATTAGGTGGGGATTGAGAGTGTGATACTCATTTTATCATTTAAGCTCTATCTTATGGCTATAGGAACCTAAAATAGCAAAGAAAGTTGCTTGTGAGAACCAAGATTTGGATCCAGACAATTTGACTCTATAGCTGAGATAAACTGTAGCTGGACCCTGGCTGTTGTAGGGAAAGC